TTACAGGAATTCATATTTCTTCAACAAACTAGCTTTTATCATTTTCTTAAACAGACTTAGAGAGCCAGCATTTTTGTAACCACTTTCCAGATTATTCCACAACCTTATTCCTTGTACTGAAGTACACCGGTCTTTTAAATTTGTTCTAATCTTGGGCTTTACAAACATATTTTCCTGTTGAATCAATAAATCAAATCAAATCAAATCAATCCAGAGGGGCTACAGGTATATAATGAAGGAGAGACAACTTGTTCTAAATAAAATAAATATATATTTTAAAGTCATTATGTATTGTTTATGCTCTAATTCAGTACTCTGCATCATGCTCTAATTCAGAACTCTGTATGATCAGTACTTGGTTTGAGGAAAGAAATGGTAATGGGACAACCCTAGCTCAAACTGAATTAATAGACAAGTGGAATCAGATCAGTTACCACTAAACCAAAATTTAACTCCAAATTGGTAAAGCTGTCTGAGTTGCAGCCATTTTTGTATTAACTAAAGTTGTTCAGGTGAAGCAGCCATCTTGAATGAAACAAAACCTATTCAATTTCAAATTCATCCAGTGGTTCATGAGATGTTTTCCTGACAGTACAGATAAACAAAAAACCTTCCCCTTCACCTTCATCAGTGGCAGATAAAAAATGGCTTTACAGCCAAATTAGAAAATGTGCTTTGGTGAAGAGAACAAGCAGCGTAAACAAAACAATATTATAACCGTGCAATATAGACTGCATGTCTGAGCATGTGTGCAGAAACATGAACGACACATTTTCAGCTTTTCCTTAAGAAAAGGGAGATGATTTGATAACGTCACGTATAGAACAGTAATTTTAGCCGAGCATTTTATGAGCCATTTGGAGCCAGAAGAAAAGGCACAGGTGAAAGCGGAGTGAATATCGATTGTGGGAGATGCATCACACAGGGCAACAAGAACATCAGCGTGTGGTTGATCAGGCACATAGCAACCAAGAAAAGAGAGTAAATTAGCTTCCTGTGCAAGTAGCAGCTGTTGTGATGAGGAAGGGTATTTGGAGGTAGTTTTTATTCATCTAAATCTTTGCTCATGGCTTGAAAAACAGGTATTTTCCTTAATGAAAGCAGTTAACATCAGAAAGTGTGATGTGCACACAGAGTGATGATTGTTATTACAGATGCAAACTCTGTCTGCAACTCCCATGGAGTTTGGAAAGTGGAGCAAGATGAAGAAAAGAGAAGAAAAAAAAACATGCAATTAAAATACCTTCGTCCCTCGGCCGGTTCGACGTAGACTCGTCGTGTTTTTTCGTGAGCGGACCTGAGGTTTGAAACAGAGGGAAAAAGAAATTCAGACCAGATAACAGACAAAACAAACAAACAAACAAAAAACAAACAAAAAAAAAACCTGAGACACAGTGTGTTTTGTTTCACTTTAGGGACTCCATGAAAGTTTTCTAATAATCACAAACTCAATGCCTTTCATGCCAGAGTTAAATAGACCATTTCAGTTTCAACTCATCTGGGTCAGGTCAACCAAGAAAAGCCTGAGGTTGGGTGAAAACACCACTGGAATTCTGCAAATTCAACAAGCTCAAAAAGCAGATTTATAGATTAAATACTTATGAAAAATCTCATCTATGATCCTAAAGGAAAGTTTAACACAAATCAGTTTAGAGCAAACACATCAGGTCTTTATAATGACGTAAATTTAACAGTTCAGTTTGTTCAATTCCAATAGTGTTTTCATAGCTACCGCAGGGTTTAAAAAAATGTGTGAGCTTGGCCTGCTTTGCACATTTTTAACAACTTTGAACAAAAAAATGGTTTAATAAAATTAAATTATAATGAGAAGTGACAGAGTTAGAACTGTTTTCAGTGGTTCGCAAAGTTGGGGTCCGAAAACATTTAGGTGGTCTCTTGAAAATATTTTTTTGGAATTATTTCCATCAAAAAATTTCTGCTAACATTTCCTTGCCTTTATAAAAGTACCTTAATGAATATTGAGAGGATACAATGGGTTTTCTGACAACAGTATCATAAGATGCAGTTAATACTAACTACTGGTGCTCAGTATATAAACAGAAAACAAAATAAGAAAGGATGATCWCAGATAAAAGGTTAAAGTCTGGTTTTCAGTGTTCTACCTTCAAAAATAGAGATCTTATGTTGTTTTATTAATCCTGTAAATTTAGGAAAATGCTCTTCAAATGGCTGTAAAATGCAGAGTTTTAAGTAGATCTTTTACTTTTTTTTGGGAGAGTATATGTCTGTACCCTCCTAGAACTGCTTCACTCCACAGCTGCTGGTTAACATGAACAGGTGTTCCTTGTCGCTGTCAGCAGATGTTGGCAGGCATTAGGTAGACTTCTAGTATCTGTTTCAAATGAATTATATTATTTTAATTGGACAACCTGGTTTCTCTAAAGATAAAAATAATATTAAAGACAAAACTTTACTTGCTAACACTCCAAACAAACACGCACAAACAAGTAAAAACACTGTCACCCTTCCACCCTTGGTGTTGGGTGATAATAACCTCAGTGGCTACTTTTTTCCCCAGTCAGTCCAGACCCATTTCTTCCTTGTTGGAAAAAAAAATAAATCAATAGGCAGAAGCGACCTATCACTTTTTAGGGTCAGAAAAAAAACAGATTGGCAAGATTTGTTGTCCTGCGACGTGACCAGAATTGACAACAGAATACCAGCCTACAACCAGAAGTGTGAGCCTTTCTGAGGAGGGAGCTGTTTCTGATGTTCCTGCAAAGGCTGGTGACAAGTTTCTCCTCATCAAGGTCAGAGAGGAGCCTCACATTAAGCTTTAATGGTAACACCAGCTAAATGCTCTGCAGGGCAGAGCCAATAACAAGCGTTTATCGCAGAGACCAACCAATGCCCTGTCGTGTCAACCCCTGTTAGCCCTAACTGATAAGGATCCCATTAATTTGCCTTTTTTTCAGCTTTCAGACAGTGGAGCTTCTCATTAGCAAACAACCACTCAGCTCTCGTCCACTTCAAGGAGCTGCTCAAAAACATTCATGTCCTTGTAGCCCGGCGCAGCCCAAACATMCACATTTAACAGCTTCCTCATCATGATGTCATCCTCAGCCGGCAGCGCCTTCCTTACCGTCTCTCCACTGAGGTTTCAGCGGTTTTTATTTTATTTTATTTTTTTAAACAATCTTCTTTGTGTTGCTGGGCGGTTTATCAGTTTATCACACTGATGGGGTGCTGCTGACATATCTGTGTCTCCCCTGCTGCAGAAAAGCTCGCAGCGAGGTGTTGGCATGTAGCCTTTTCACCACGCCGTGTACCCATCGACGAGAGAGCCGCTCCGTCCCACCATTTGCGCYGCGGCGTCTTCACTTATCCGTCTGCATGTTTTTATGGTTTCCTGATATAAAATGTTTATCTTCCGTCTTAATGGGAGAAGATCAATGGTAAATGGATTAGCTGCATCCTCTCGGTTCCACCATGCAGGCGCCTGATCCTTAGAGCACTTACTGCCATGGCGAGAGATGGTACAGCCAGGTAGATAGARCAGTAATGGATAGAAAGGCCTATTAGTCCTAGGGATTGTCAGCGATCCCTCACTACTTAGCACCACTCTAAAACCACACCTTTCTGCCTAATGGAGACAAGGTTTCAGCCCAGTTCCCAGCGCTTTCTAAAGAGCCAAACTCTATCTGAGGAGATGCTCAGACGTCACATTATGGAGCTTGTATGTCGAGAAGAAAAGGAAAAATTACAACAAATCTTTACGTTTTTATAAATCTGTCAATTTAGTTTACATATACTCTAAAAGAAATAAAACCCATAACTGCTTTCCTGAACCCTAAACAGGCACAACCATTTAGACCTGAAAAGGATAATTCAAATTTTTTTAAGTGGAGTTTTGTGGGAAAGGTCGTAAAGAATTATCATCTTACCTGCTAAAGATAGCTCTTTGAACATTCTCATTTAGAAAAATAGTGTTAAAATTTGACTTGTCTGTGAGACCAGGACCAGAATGCATTTCTGACGTCTTAAATCAAGTGCAGATTGTACAGGGCGTGTTGCAGCTAGCTGTGGCTGTTGCAAAATCTTTCTATGTTGGATAGTAAAGAAGTGATCAACTTTGGTCTGAGCATCATTTGGACTAACATTAGCTCAAAAATCTGGGCAGAATTGAACAATTTTTTTCTCCAGCTGCCTAAACATTATCTATATCTACATGTTTCTCTGCCACTGTCATTTTCATACTAGAATACAGACATCTGCTATGTCCTGCTGGGGTGTGACATGATTTTTATCATATGCTGTGATAAATCATACAAACCAACTGAGTGTCAGAATGGTGTATATTTATACCTCTCATCCAACCACAATTAATTTTACTCAATCTGGGAAGTGACATAGACCTGGATATTTTACATAACAATCATCTGAAAAATAGTTACTCCAGTGAGATTACCAAAATGTCTACTCAAGTCAGGTGACAAAGTATTTATACTTTACAACTCTGTCTACAGCAGGTAAGATATTAACTGTTTGGCTCTATTACACTATCATATTTTAGACAAGTTGACTTATAAAAATGTTTTTAAGACTAAATTACTCAAATATTCAATCTAATATGTAAATGTCCAGTAGAGGCTTCCAGTAGACTTATTTTATTTAATTTTCAGCAGAGACCTCTTTAGTGTCCAACCTGATGTTTAGGAAACAAACACTTAATAATCAACAGTTTAAAGTTTTGGTCACAGTTGATGGACCTAACAGAATTCCCACGACAGAAACCGAAGTTACAAGTTTGTAGTTATATTTTTTATTAAACAAAAAGATTGAGTTTGAAGCCAAGCATCTTAAAAAGAATAAGGGTATTGAT